TTTTCCTCATTTTATAGATTGGAAAACTGAGTCTCAAATAGATTAATTAATGTGGCCAAGACACCCACCCACCTGTGAGTGGCAGAACCCTAATTTTAGTGAAGAATTTTTTTTTTTTTTTAATTCCAAAGCACTTGGCTTTTCAGACAAAACCTTTGTGCTTCACAAAGTGAGGGTTTAGGCAAGGGCAGTCTGGGTCATATTCATCAGTGCTTGGAATGGATCTCTTATTAGTAATATTTTATCTATAGCTCACATCTACACCTCTACACTATGTTTATAAATGTAACAATTTAGCATCTCATAGTTTAGCATTTGCCTCAAGTAATTTATGTATTTAAAACATGAGAATATAGTGTCTTTGTCATCATCACCACATGTTTGTTTTACTCATGGAATAACATTTAGGAGATACATGAGAAGACTCCAAAAACAAATTAGCCTTTTTTTTTTTTAAAGGAATAAAGCCGTGTAGAAAGGAACCGTGGGTATCTTCCCAATTCCTCTCTTACATTCACTTACAAGAAGGTTTTTAAAAGTGCATCATATGTAAAAAGTATGTTATTTGTAAAGTGTTCCCACCTCAGATTCTTAGCTAAAAATATGGAACTTATCTACATAGACTCGACAGTCAGAAGCAGGTTCTTAGATGAGGTGATGTAAGAGGATGGGTAGAGGCAGGACTGGGATGGAGGGGGGGGGGTTGATGGAGAATCATTGATTTAATATTGAACTTTCTGTTTTCTTGAAATGCAGTGTTTGGATATTTTATTTATTTATTTATTTATTTATTTATTTATTTATTTATTAAGTTTATTGGGATGACACGGGTTAGTAAAATTATGTAGGTTTCAAGTGTACAATGTTATAATACATAGTCTATAATACATAGTCTGGAGAACACCCAGAGTAAGTTCTCCTTCCATCACCATATATCTGACCCCCTCCCCCCTCTTCTACTAACCCCTCTTCCCCCTTGCCCTCTGGTAACCCCTCTACTGCTGTCTGGGTATTTTAGCATGCCTCCTTTTGCATTTCTTTGGTGAGATTCTGTGGAGCGATTGTTTGGTACTCGAGGAAGTATTTTTAGGTGTCATTCTGTTTTACTAATGTCAGATTTCCTACCGAGAGGCAACATTATGCCACATACAAAAATAAGAGAACACAGATGAACACAATTTCAGTTAGTGTATCCCTGCTCTCCCTTAGAATACCCACTTTTCGCATCCTATCTTTTTGCCCCCCCAGAGATTGTGTAGTTGTTTCTCTGACTGGAACTGCTTGCTTGTAGCATTAAACCAAGAATGATTCCAAGGTATTTTTTTCTTTCCTCTTCATTTTATGATTCCATTACTTTATTAATCTTATTCCTTAAGGCACTATAAATTAAATTATAATAATTCATAGATTAATAAGTTAGAATATCCTAATTTTAACAATGGCAGTACTTTTCATTTGTGTAGTGCTTTGTATATTTTTCATATTCATCTTTGCATTAGTTCTAATTGTCTTATATCCTAAAAAAAAAACAACTACTCTATCTCAAATACTTTTATGACTAAGGGTAGAAAGCCAGTCTATTAGACTAAACAAGTTTTCTGGTTGTTAGGGACTTTTCTTAATGCCTCAAGGAATGGCTTAATGAAAATGGTGATGTATCACTGCTCCTACTCTACGAGTAGTCCCTGGTCCTTTTTGTCTTCTGAACACTGAATGTTACAGATTTTTTTTTTTAATGTGTAGCAACTCTCCTGTATGTTTCATATCTTACACACCCCTTTCACTCACCTGTTTAGGCATTAACTTTTTTTTTTTTTTTTAATATAGTGCCCTACAGGATATAAGTTTTAAATGTCTCTTGGGAAAACCTAGCCAGAAGTGTTGGACCTGATGCCAGTACTTTCTAGAAACAAATTTATTTTATGGAATGGCTTTTCTACATGAATTCTCCACATTTTAAATGAGAGAGTTCAATAAAAATCTGCTTAGGAAAATTATTCAGGCTTTCTGGAGATTTAGGCAGGCTTTTACTTGTTTAAGAATGTGACTTTTCCCCCCATAATCAAGCATCTAAATGGGTCTTAGACAGGAAGTATTACCTGTTAGAAAGAATTTTATTTCCTGGTGAAAGACAAGAAGTCTTTTTAAAAAACCCCTAAATCTAATGACTAACATTTTTTATGGTGCATTACAAAATGCTTCCATTTCCATGACATCATTTGATCCCCGTAGCAGTCTTGTAAGGGAGGCAATTCTGTTTTCCTCATTTTATGTTAAAGAACTGAGATTCTGAAAGTGGTGGCTGGTCACACAGCTGGTAAATTGAGATTGGTGTTGGACCCAGGTTTTTGGACACCAAATCTTACACTTTTATTTATTCTGCATGACCTCTTTATAGGCTCAACTCTTGATTTTCCTGGCCAATGAATAAAAGAGCAGGTAACCAAGAAGAAAATCAGAGCATATTATAGTTGTAAGGGGGTTGGTTAAGACCCTTTGTTTCCATATCAGCTTAGAGAGGCTAAGTGATTTTTCCTAGGTCGTTTGCTAATTAGTGGCTGAGCTGGGAGGACAACCTTGAAAATGACATCAAAGACATGAATTATATGTGTCCTTTGAAACCATATGTCTTTTATCAAATGCCTGAATATGTCTCATGGAAACTTGGGCTTTGAACATAACTTGAATTAGAGTGTTCTTATGAACCCTCTGAAAAGTCTCAGACCTAGTCCTTTTATCTTCATGTCTAACATTTTGTAAATGCTCAGAAATGCTTGTTGGTTGTAGTAAAATGATAATTTCTGGTACATAATTTCAAAGCAATATTTAGAGAACATGTTGATTTCAGATCTATTAATTTTTCAACAGAAAAGACACTCAAATGCTCAAATTTGAATCTTAGATCATTCAGAGAGGATCTAAGTTTTGATAGAGCATTGATTTAGGTTTTAACTCTTGTTCAGTTCCATATATTTATCTGAGTCTGTACATAATGCAAAGAGGAAAATTATCCACATTATACTATGTTATGACTTTTTATCTTACAAGTACAATTTTTATACCATTATAAAGCACATCATAATAACATGGTCATAGTTTTAGCTATTTTACCATTTTATATTCATTTGTTGTCTTCACATTTGCAGATTTATTCCATAGATGAAGATGAAAAACTAATACCTAGCTTGGAAATTATCTTACCTCGTGACTTGGCAGATGGATTTGTGAATAATAAGCGAGAAAGCTACAAATTTAAGTAAGTTTCTCTTCCTTCCTCTTCATATCTGTTTTGCTATTGAACTAACTCTCATACTGCGTTAATATCCACTGTGAAGTCATTAGTATTATTTCTTGGGGAGAATGTAGTACAATTTTCTATCTCACCTAGTAGATGGAATGCACATTGTCTTTTCACTGCTGTGCCCGACATTGAAAAGAGGGTGTATATCTGTATCCACTGTGATATCCCAAGGTCACAGGCTTTCTTTACTACGTCTGTGTTATCCTTTTCCTACTTGGTCCACTATGGTTTAGCACTTAAAGGAAGTTCAATACATGACTAAACTGTATTACAGATAAGAACTTAAGGGACAATCTGTGTGCTGTACTGGTGAGCCTTCTTTATATACATAAATGACATATGGACCTCATGTGTACATACGTACCCTCCATGGCTGTGCTGTCCAATATGGCTGCCACCAGACACAGGTATCTCTTAAGCCCTTGAGATGTACTAGCTAGTCCAAATTAAGATGTGCTGTAAGTGTAAAATATATCAAAGATTTATGAAGGCTTAGTATGAAAAAACAAAGAATGTAAGCTATCTCAAGAATTTTTTCATATTGATTCCATATTATGATAAAATTTTGCATCTATTGGGTTAAGATATATTATTAAAATCAATTTCACTTTTTTTTTTTTACTTTAAAAATTATGGCTACTAGGAAATTTTAAATGACATATATACTCACATTTCTGTTTTTGCATTATATGTTTTTTTGGACAGTGGTGCACTGTATGGTTTAGGTGAAAAGTACCAAACAGCCGTCCCGGGATCGTCCTCAGTGCCTTTGGTCCAAATACTCTTCCAGTAGCCAGGCCTTGAGTTTTTGGATTATGGCTATTTCATACGGCCTTTATTCTCCAGTTTCAGTTTCTATCATTTCCTTTAATCCCCACTTTTGATTTTTGGAGAAGTTTGAGCCTAAGTTACACTCACATTTGATTTGTGGCCCATACTTAGTAGTGGATTTCTGGGTTCTGCTGAAGGAATCCTAATTGCTCTCTTGCATTTCTCTCTAGGCTGTGTTATATATAGTCCTTCTTTGGAGACTATTCCTGCCCTGGCCCTTTAAATAAAACCATCCCAGATATTTTTTATAGTTTCTCTCTCTGTCTCTTCTCTCTCTCTCTCTCTCTCTCTCTCTCTCTCTCTCTCTCTCTCTCTCTCTCTCTCTCTGTTCTAGTTTACTCTTATTTGTTTGTCTCATAAAGATTCTCCGGGCTTCACAACTCTATCCTTTGTCTCTCAGGTATCTATCTCCCCTCTCACCTCCACCCCATCTTCTTGGGCCACCATTCACACTAAGTACAAGCAGGATTGTTAGCACGGGTTGCATGTGGAGGTGGTCCTCACCTTGTCTTTTTGGCTCCCCCTTATCTTTCATTCTGTCCTTTAAGGAGGAGCCTTATAATAAATGACTTACTTTTTCTGAAGGAAGCATCCTCCCACTAACGTAAGCACACTACATACCTATGACCTCATGACAGCTGGCCTAGGCCAGTCTCTACAAAGCCACAATTTGCTAAAACATTTCATTCAGCGTGATTCTATTTGACTGTTAAGAAATGATTGACCATGTCTCTATCTGTTGGCCCTTTCAGAAGTATTTTTTACATTATGTAGACACAAACAGAGTGTATTTAAACATATGCTTATTGTAAACGTGCTGTTTGCTTATTTTTAAATCTCTTAATCATTCTTTCTAAATCTATGAATTAAAAATATTGGTCTTTGCATTTTAAATAAAGGAATTAATAAACTATTTAACTTACATATGTTCAGAGATAAATATTTAAGCATTTTAAAGGCCGCTTTCTCCCAAGAAAATCCATTCAATATTTATTGACCATCCACTGTGTGCTGTTTTCATGGCTCCTGCTTACATTTCAGTGGAAGGAGATGGACAAGCCGATCAATAAGTGAAATGTGTGTCAGAAAGGAGACAAATAAGGCGGGGGAGGGGACTGAGGCGTGCTGGGCTGCAAGGCAGCAGAGGGGACGGATGGTTACAGTATTGCACAGGGCAGTCAGGGAAGGGGTACCAGAGGGAGACATTTGAACAAAAACTTGAAGGAGGTAAGGAAGCCAGACATTCAAATACCTGAGGGATGGGAATGCCAGGCCTAGGATATGACAGGAGCAAAGTTCCTGAGATGGGAGAATGCCTGGCTTGTTTGAGGAAAAGGGACGTGTGCGGCTGGAGGAGAGCAAGCAAGGGGAGAAGGGAAGCAGGAGGTTAACGGGGCCGCAGAGTGGCCGGATCACACGGGGCTTTTCTCCTAGTGCCGGGGGAAGGTAACTAACAGTTCTGAGCAGGAGAATGAAATAACCTCCCGTTCTAGCAGGGTCATCCTTGCTAACATGTAGAGACTAGACTGTAAGGAAATAAAGGGAGACCAGGCAAGACATTTTGGTAGCTTGGGCTTGAGTAGCAGCAAGTGGAAATGTTGAGAACTAGTTGCATTCTGGATGTATTTTGAAGGTCAGAGATGACGGAGTGTGCTGATGGGTTGGAAAGAGAAGAGTCAAGGATGTCCTAAGGGTTTTGGACTGAACTTTTAGAAGGATGGAGTTGTCATTTACTGGGATGAGGAAGACCAGGACAAACAGTTTGGGGTAGAAAGAAAGAGATCACATGTGCCAAATTTGAAATGGAGTTTAGAAAAAGCATACATAACCTCCTAATAAATGAAAGGACCTTCTAGGGGGTTTGCGGGTGAAAAACAGGGGAGGTATTAAGAAGAACAAATTGGTTGTTACACGGTAGTCATGGGGATGTAGGGTATAGCATAAGGAATGTAGTCAATAACGTTATAATAACTAGGTATGGTGTCAGATGGGTACTAGATTTATGGAGGTCAAGATGGGAGGGGGTTGGGGGCAGGGTGAAAAAGGTGAAGGTATTAAGAAGTACAAATTGGTAGTTACAGAATGGTCATGGGGATGTAGAGTAAAGCATAGAGAATATAGCCAATGATATGGTAATAACTATGCATAGTTCCAGGTGGGTGCTAGACTAGTCAGGAGGCTCACTTCTTAAATTATATAAATGTGCAACCACTATGCTGTATATCTGAAATTAATGTAAAATAATATTGAATGTCAGCTTTAACTGAAAAAATTAAAAGGGGGGGAAAGGTGAAGGGGAAAAAGAGGCCCAAATTTCCAGGTATAAAACAAATAAGTCATGGGGGTGTAATGTACAGCATAGGGAATATAATCAATAATAGTGTGATACCGTGGTACGGTGTCAGATGGTTGCTGGGCTTATGGTGATTACTTCTCTAGTCATATACATGTTGAATAACTATGGTGTATACCTGAAACTAATATAATATTGTATGTTAGCTATATTTTAATAAAAATCTTTAAAAAAAAAAAAGGACCTATTAGGAATCAGGAAAGCTAAGTTATGTCTCAAGGTTCTTTATTGATTTGCTCCAGTAAATTGCTTTATCTCCCTGGGATAAAGCATCTTCTTCCTCTGTAAGTTTAGACTCAACTTGTTAAACTCCATGATTCTGTTTCACTCTTCAGTGGTTTTCAGGGGATAGCTGATCAGAATGCCTTTTCAGATTACTATGCAACTACATTTTATAAAATAACATATTTTGGGATGATGATATTTGATGTTTAATGTACATTGTATGATTTATTGAGCCCCCTGCCATCTCTTTGGTTCACATGGTAGTAGACGAAATTCCCGTTACTTGGGGAAGTGGGGTTGGGAATGGCTCTTGATTTACTCAATCATCATCAACCTGGTAAAGAATCTTATCAGCCTTGTCATCCTCACCCTCAAAAGCACGGCTGGATCTGTGTTCAGATATCACAGGAAGCAGGGCTCTAAAAGGCACTGAGCAGCCATGTCCCCTGAGAGGGGTGGGTGTTCATATCCGAAGCTCCAGTGCACCTGTGGGGTTTGTGGAGTGTTCTGGGCATGCGCCGTAAACACTGCTCTGTAAAATAGAATCTTGCCTGCACAATGATGGAGTAGCCAGAGCGCCTTACAATCTCTCTTTGTATGCAGTTTCATTATTTGCTTCTTCAAAAGGGAGGTTGGTAAGCTATGGGGATCTTTTGAAGTTGATGTTGATTAAAGACAATGAATTTCATTCCATTTTACAGTTCTGACCCAGCTCCGGCATCCTTCTGAATGCCTCAGAAGTGAAAACAATCCTACATTTCATGTAGTCTCTGCTTTAATTGAATGTGTACCCAATTCACTGTGTAAGCCGACACACAGACCAAAGGTTTTAAGCGACCCAGAAAGCTGCTCAGGATGCCCTCAATATGTTTGTTTTAAAGGTTTTGCTTTAAAGTGCCCTCCCCCCAATTTTTAATTTGAAACTTTTAAATATACAGAAGAGGTGGAAGAATACTGCAATAAACTCTCCTATGTTTTTGTGAGAGATTCACCAATTGTTAACATTTTACCCTATATACTATATTCTCTCTCTCAGTCTCCCTCTCTCCGTCTCCCTCTCAGTCTCCCCCTCTCCGTCTCCCTCTCTCCATCTCCCTCTCAGTCTCCCTCTCTCCGTCTCCCTCTCAGTCTCCCCCTCTCCGTCTCCCTCTCTCCATCTCCCTCTCAGTCTCCCTCTCTCCGTCTCCCTCTCCCCCTCCCCCTCTCCCTTTTCCTCTCCCTCTCCCTCTCTCTCTGCATGATGTTTTAATGGGGGACATATTTGCTGGTAGCAGCTTACCACACTGTAAAATAATACGTTGTGTGTCCTCTCCCCCTGGTATTCCGCTGTGTTTGTGGTCCTGTACTAAGCGAAGTCAGAATGCCACTGCAGGAAGAGTGAAATTGACACCATTCCACCTCCCCACGCCCCTAGCCTTGCCAATCTGATAAAGACTTCTCATTGCAGGTCTATCTTAATTTGTTTTTGACTTTTGACTCATAATCAACAAAGTGAAACAAACTTTCCTGAGAATTAAGTAGCTGATACTAGGATGCAGTGCCTAACTAATGGAAAATAAACTGCAGGTCAAAAATTTAAAGCCATGTTCAATAATCATACATTTCACAGCTGTGTTCTTTCTTTACACGTCAGACATCAGAAGTTCTTTGGCTGTTTACATCCTGTTCTTGGGTTTCCATTTCATGCACTTATCTAGATTTGAATTGGATGCCAAATGCAGACACTGTTCCTCTTGAGAGCTAAAAAACACACAGTTTATTATTTGGTTCAAAGCTGCTGCAGTTTTTCAGAGGGATTTATTGTGCAGATCTTGTCAAAGCAATACTGTTTACCCACCATTTGTATACTGTGTTACAACAGTGCAGTGTGGCTGGGACCACAGGGCCAACATTGTGTTGGGTTAGGTAAGCCAGTGATGTAAATATGGGGTAATTTACAAAGCTGTCAGGAAAACAAAAAAAATATTAATCCAACAATTGTGTTTGAAGGCTCAGCTTTTAAATAATTACTGTTTTCACATTTTCAGATTTCAAAGGATTTTTGATCAAGATGCAAACCAAGAGACCATTTTTGAAAACATTGCCAAACCAGTTGCTGAGAGGTAGGATTTCCTATATTTTGTTCACTGGGTTAGTGGTTTTTCGTCTTGTCTTCAATTCGCAGATAATTGTGGTAATATGCTTCAGTATATCAATTATATCCTCAGGCGGCAGGGCATGTAATGATGATAGCATTAGTACCTTTTATTCATACAGCTGTTTGTTTTAGATTTAGATTCTGGGCCTCAAAACAAGCCAGTGAGATAGACAGAATAGCTATTATTACTTCCATTTTAAAGATCCGTGGATCTCTGAGGATCAGAGAGAATTAAGTGGCACTGCTCAGGGTTGGTTGGTGGTTAGTGGTGGCAGAGTCCCAGATGGTTTTCTAACTGTTAAGTCCAGTGCCCTTTCTTAGTATGATGTTTGAAACATATGGTTAGGTGGATGAAGTACTAGGTATGGGTGACACCTGGGAGGCCTAAAAATGACTGACCGACTCTACCGCAGTGTAATAACTATATTTCAAAGCTTGGTCCTTAGCTTCTAGGTCCCTTTTGTTTCTGTATATCCAGATAGTTCCAGGCTGCTAATGACTAGAACCAGACTCATACAAGAATACTGAATAAATCAGAATGCCATTTTATGAATATACACTGGCGAAGTCTCCTCGGGAGTAGACACTCAGCCCTTTGATATGCACGCTCTACTCTTATATGGAATCTATATGGGAAACTACTACTGAGTGGGGTTACTTCCTGATCCTGAAATCAGTTGGGTGATTTTAATGACCTCATCATCCCCAGATACATCTATCCTTACAATTAAAATGAAAACGGTAGTTGCTAAATGAACCCATTTTTCAGTATACCCTTTCACAGAAACATTGCATGAAACACATTGCCATATTTTGTCTCTCAAACTCCTGTTTTAGGAATCCTACTCAAACCAAGCCCTTTTCTCTTTTTTCCAGTTCTATTGAAATATAATTGACACATAACATTGTATAAGTGGAAAATGTACAACGTGTTGATTTGATGCATTTATACATTGCAAATGATTATCACCATAGTATTAGCTACCACCTTCAGCTCCGTCACATAATTGCCATTTCTTTTTTGTGGTGAGCACATTTAAAGATCTGCTCTCTTAACAACGTTCAAGTCAATGATACAGTATTATTAGTTATAATCACCATGCTGTACATTAAATCCCCAAACTTGTTAATTAAGCCCTTCTCTTTTAATACAGTCCTCCTTCACAGTGGGTAAAATACAATTGAGTAGGCTTACACTATTTTAGTTATAGCCACAACCCAATAACGTGTCTTTAGATTAAATTCAGGTCTCCTAGACTGGATGTCACACATTCTAAAATTCTCTTCTTTGTAGTAATCTTTTGCATTATGTCATTTTTCAGTTGGTGGATCTCATGTGTTTTATTTTGAAACTTCACTAAAATCATCCAGGGAGGGAACCTTAGTTTCTTTTTCATGGATAGCTGTGTTTCCTCCCGTTGCTGACTACCTCGCCTATCTTGAGCCCACTTCCCCCTGCAGCTCTTGCTGTGCCTTGTGCCTGCAATTGTCTTCTTCAGAAATCTGTGTAGCTGCTTCCTCAGCCCCTTGGTCTTTGGTCATCTATCACCTTCTGAGTAAGACCTTCCTTTATTATCCTATTGAAACTGCACTCCCTGTCACCCTTCCCTATTTTATTTCTTTCAGCACTTATCACCATCTGGCATACTGTATGGTTTGATTACTTATTAATTTTTTGTCTGTCTGCTTTCCACCAGAACAAAAGTTCTGTGAAGGGCTGGGGATTTGTTTTGTTCACTGAATTATAAAGACACCCAACCCAATAATGTCAAGATTTGAAAAATGACAGGCAAGAGCATTTTTATCCAGGTGGCCCAAGTTGGTCCCGGTGGATCCTATCTTTCATCAAAAGGAAACATTCCTCTTGGTCCTTTTTAATACTTTTCTCCTTGCAGTCCATTTTTGCTGATCTATTTTTGCTCTTTTTTTTTTCCCTGTTAGTCTTTATCTGGTTTATTTCTCTCAGTCTCTTAATTCAACTGCCCTGGGACATTTTGTTTCTAAGTATGGGTCTGGTAAAGAAAATGTGGCTGGCTTTTGCTTTTTTAGCCAAACTCAGGGTCCCTGATCTTTAATTGATTACTTTCACCTGATTTTATTATGATTACTGTAATGGTGTTTGGAGGTATTCTTCCTGTCACAAATTTTTTCCATTTATCATATACTCTGTTTTCTTTCCCCCTTTCTTACTGTGTGTTGGTTTGACTCTTTGCTGTTGCTGCTGCTTCCTGTTTTCTCTCTCAAGGTGTCCATTGTACGTCAGCACCTCTGTGTAGTGCAAATTCAGGTACTTAAACTTACTTGTGTTTTTCTCAGTATCTAAAATTTCTCTCTTTGTCTGTCTGTCTTCCCCCAGTCAGGGACAGACCCTCAGGGACCTGTGAGAGCTATAGCAAAAGATCTAACATTCATGTCATCAGAGTCTCAAAAGAGACGAGAGAGAGAGTAGGGTTGAAAAGTTTTCAAAGAAATAACGGTTGAAAAAAATCCCCTAAATTTGGCAAATTGCCTAAACCTAGAGCTCCAAGAAGCAGGATATACTCAGAGAAATCCACTCCATGACAAATCATAGTCAAACTTAAGAAAACTAAAGATAAAGAAAAAAATCTGAAAGGAATAAGAGAGAAATGATACCTCACTTATTGAGAAAAAACAATGTGAATTATAGTAGATTTTGCATCAGAAATCATGGAGTCTAGAAGAAAGTAGCTGAATATTCTCAAGTGTTGAAATAAAAGAACTGTCAGTCCAGAATCCTATATTCACTGTAATTATCCTTCAGAAATAAAGGGGAAATAAAGACATTTTCAGACAAATGAAAACTAAGACAATTAGTTGCCAGCATACCCCCCCCCCCTAAAAGGAGAGATACAGAAAGTTCTTGAGAAGAAGAGAAATGAAAAAAGAATGAATCTCAGGACATTAAAAAGGGAGAAAGAACAACAGAGAGAGCAAAAATATGCATGAATAAAATAAACTTTCCTCCTCTTGAGTTAAAAAAAAAATTATGTTTGATTGTTGAAGCAAAAAAATAAAGCATCGTCTGATGATAATTATAAATGAGAGGGGAAAATTACTGAAAGGGAAGTAAGGTTTCTATACTTCATTCAAACTGGTCAAATATCAACATCAGTAGATCTCTGTGGCAATAGAATAGTTGTGCATCTTGATTGCAATGATGTTTACTCAAATCAACACATGTGACAAAATGGCGTAGAACTCTACACACATATTGTACTGATATCAGTTTCCTGGTAATATACTATAGTCATGCATGATGTAACCATTAGGGGAAACTGGGTGAAGGGCACACAGAACCACTCTCTACTGTCTTTGTAGCTTCCTATAACTTTATAATTATTTCCAAATAATATATTAATATTCCCAGATATGAGAATTTTAGCATCTTTTTTCTGTGATGTTCTTCTATTCAGTAAATTAGGTCATCCAAATTATTAGACTAGAACTGCTCCCCCATGGGACTCAATAAAACTAATCCTATTTGATATTCACCAAAACATGGCTGCCAGTAAGTACTTTTGTTTTTCTCAAAGTTGGCTTTCAAGCAGAAAACACTGGTTACCACGGAATTACAAAAAAAAAAAGCATTGGCTCCTCCTGATCTTTTCAACTTCTGGCCACAATTTCATTTCACCAGATGCATTGTTTATAAACATGTACCTATGCTTGGCTCCATTTCCTGCTACATTGAATTTCCTGATAACATTACATTTCTGGCTTTTGTGATTATACTAACTTTCAAGTGTAACATTTTTAAAATTGCATTTTCAACTGAAAACATGGGTTTGTGTTTAAAAACAGGAAAACATATCAGCTTAAAAGCATGAAATTATACAAGAAGATGACCTTAAGGTACTCCACCAAGATCTTAAAGAATAGAATAATTTTGCCATTTCACCTGTTACAGCTAGTGAATTTGGAGAAAGCAACAGCAATCCATCTAATAAGCATAGATTGTACTAATGATGCACATTTGAAATATGGATTTTACTATTGTAGGGAAAGAAATGAGTCTAATTCTGGATGTTTCTTCTTAAGAATGACCAATCAAGAAATTATATGATACTGTCATTTTTGTGGTAATAACTACAAGTTAAAGTTATTTGTAATTCCTTTGATGAAATACCTCTAAAACATGTCCTGAGTTGTATGAAGTGATTTGATTGTAGAGACTATGAGTTCTCTACAGACCATATATAAGTGATGAAAACCACTGGGTAAAATAAAAAGCATTAGTTAAATAAAGACAATAAGAGGGATTTCTGGTCAAGTTGGCAGAGTAGGTAAATGCTGTGCTTGCCTCCTTTTATGACCACATAAAAAAATACAACTAAACTACAGAGCAACCGCCGTTGAAAATCGCCTGAAGTTTACCTGAATCCAAGTCCTATCGCTAAGGACTTACAGAAGGAACCTCCTCAAGACTGGAAGGAGGGGCAGAAATTCAGAACAGGCTGGTCCCACACCTGCATGTGACCATTAAAAAATGGGAGGGATATCTTGGCTGCGGAGGTCCCCCTGCCTTAGAGGAGCAAGGGGTCCCAGCTCCACACCAGGTTCCCCAGCCCAGGGTTTCAGTGCTGGGAAGAGAAGTCCCCATAATTTCTGGCTGTGAAAACCAGCGGAGATTGTGACTAAGTGAGACAGAAGGAGGCTAGAGTCCCAGGTGATCCTCTTAGAGGGCCCACACATGGACTTACTCACTGATGGATTCTGAGCTTCAGCACTAGGGCAGCTTGAAAGGTGCCAGGGACTAATGGGGAGGAAATTAATTGTCTGGGGCTGCAAGGTGAGGGCTAGAGGGACAACTTTTTTCCAGACAGAGTGCTGGCAGAATCCATTGTTTTTTTTGTAGAGCCCTCCCCACTCCCGGCTTTCTAACACAGGTGGCTGCCATATCCGAGTCTCCATTAACCTGGCGAACACTGTTGTCCATCTACCCGA